ATACTTCAACTTTTACCAGAGTGTTTTTAAACTGCAGTATCTATACCTCTACTTAAATAACAAATGTGTGTATTTTTGACACCACTGCGCTTATCTGATCCAACTGTATTAGTCTGTATTTAACCAGCCTTCAGACCAGTCATCAGTGCCAGATTTTTTTAAGCCATTGGTGAGATTTTTTCTAGCGTTCCTGTATTCTGTTTAACTGATCCTTACCTGTTCTGCCTCTCAACCTCTGAGCCTGATCAGTTTACCTGACCTGTCTTCTGACTCACACCACATATCTGCCTGTCCTTGTCCCGTACATGGAACTGTGACCCAACTCTGTCTTGGATTCTCCCTCAGCACCTCACCGGCTCTCTGACATCCTGGCTTTGACTGGCAGCCTAGTGGTTAGGGTGTAGAATTTGGAATCCTGAGGTTGTGAGTTCAAAACTTGATCCCACAGATTACTCCCAGATTACTCCCCAGGTGTCCAATGATGGCAGCCCCCACTTCTCCCCAAGAGAATGGGTTAAATGCAGAGGTAAATTTATTCTATGTGAGATCAATTATTTAAATTATTATTAATTAAAAACAAATCTGTGCAGAGGAAACTTTTCCATTTCAATTGTTTTTACATTAAATAATAATAAAACAAACAATCATTACAGTAGGCAATGCATACATGTTAGAAAAGGTGAAATGTCTACTTTACTGTATTTTTACCTGATCTCCAAATAGCTTAAATTACTTGTTTTAGAGGGAGTAGCCAGAAAATGTACTCTAAAGTATCTACACTCTCAAAAAAATATGACTGATGTCAAAGTAAAAGTACAGTAAAACACAACTACTCCTAAAAAGAGATTTTTCAAGTTACTCAAGTAAATGTAACTGGGTATATGTTTCTAGTTACCGCACAATTCTGCTGAAAAACGAAAACTGAGACCTTAGAACTGATGTTAAGATTATGCTGGGATCTGCTGCTCTCTGCTGTTCACAAGTCAAACCTGAATGAGACATTTGTCTTTATGTTTGACTCATAAGTGGAAACATTAATAAACCCTGTTTACAGATGTATATGGAAACTAAGTACCTGCACTTCATTACAGTACTTAAGTTATTTTTTGAGGATTTGTACTTTTCTTTTTTTTATGTTGCTTGCCTATGTTAGAGAGACACAAATTTTACTTTTACTCCTGTGGATTAACATCTGTGAAACTATTTCTCAATACAAATGAAATTATGTCATGAATTTATCATTTATTTATGAAAGGATTTGTTTATGTGAATGAAAAGTTCAAGAACTGTGCTCTGTTTTTCCAGATCAACACTTCTCTCTGGTCTGTGGTGATAAAGCACATTGCTGTTTTTTAAAGTTATTTTTATATATATATATCTGAGTATACTTTTTTAAAAATGGAAATGTTCATTGTTTTTTATATACAGTATCTAGAGGGGTGAAGAAGTCATTGCTATCGCTAAAAACCCACGTTACCACCAAACCATTCTGCATCATTAGTTTTACACCTCTGCCTATTTAACATTTGGTTATTTCAAAAGAATAGAAAGTGATTTAAATACTGGAGAAAATTAGAAAATAAGCTCTGATTGATTAAAAAAACTAAATAACTTGTTCCTTTCATATCACTCTTCCGATAGCCCCCTGCTGATCTCTTATATCTGCTGCATTCATTCCTTGTTTGCAGCTCAGTGATGTTTAGTTGGGTTAAAGAAGGTTATAGACTCAGCCTTTCATTTGACTCAGGAGCTTCTACTTCTTAGATGTGGTTTAGGAAGTCAGTGTTTAATAACAATGACCAATAGTTGTTTTAGACTTTCTGTTTATTTTATTTTATCATTTCCATTACAGATTTCATTTAGTGTTTTTTTTTTTTGGGGGGGGGAACTGCTGGCATTGACACCTTGTAACAAGAAGATCCAGGTTTTAAATCCTGACAAAAGTGTATGATAAAAATCTAGCTTTTTTTCTAGATTCACTTGATTTCATTCGCAGACTCTGCACATGCATGCAAAAGCTAGTACTGTGTCTTTTTTTTTGCAATATTTTTTTAAATAAATAAAATATTCCAGAGATCGATGGGTAGCGTTACACGTACATAATTCGAAATTACGACGTTTGAGAAATCCCGTGAAGTAGCCACGTCTGCGTGCATCTGTAGCGTCAGTTATAAAGTGGGCGGGGCCTTCCCGGCTATACAGTAGAAACCCTACAAGATGAAGGACGGTATCCAGGGTCAGCCTGCCTAAACTCCGCCGCTGCCCTTCAGACACACCGAAGGCGGCTGTGTCGACCTACCCGGATGGACTTCATCCTGGGCGGCGTGGCGGCCTGCGGCGCCTGCCTCTTCACCAACCCGTTGGAGGTCGTCAAGACGCGGATGCAACTTCAAGGGGAGCTGAAGAGCCGCGGCACCTACCAGGTTTACTACCGCAACGTTTTCCACGCTTTCTACACCATCGGTAAAGTGGACGGCCTGGCCGGGCTGCAGAAAGGCCTGGTCCCCGGTCTGTTCTATCAGTTTTTCATGAATGGAGTCCGGCTCGGCTCCTTCGCCATCATTGAGTCCGCCGGTCACATCCACACCAACGGAAGGGTCAGCGCTCTGAAGACCATCGCAGCAGGAGCCGCCGCTGGGGTGGTGGGCGCTGTCATGGGCAGCCCTGTGTACCTGGTCAGCATCCGACTTCACTTTATGGGTCTAAAAAGTTTAACTGATGAATTCTAACTAAAAACTCTCCCATCTGACAGGTGAAGACTCATCTGCAGAGTCAGTCTACCTCCTCCATCGCAGTGGGACATCAGTATAAACACCAGGTAGTAGATCTATCCCAAACACACAGATGTTGAAGACAGGTTTCTGATCTGCTTCTTCTATTCCTGACAGGGGATGATCCATGCTCTCAGGGTCATCCACAGGGAACACGGCATTCTGGGGCTGTGGAGGGGCTCCAGTGCTGCTGTACCAAGGGTCAGCGTGGGCTCTGCAACCCAGCTTTCCACCTTCTCCTCCTCTAAGGAGCTAGTCATTGACCTACAGGTAAGAAAAGCCTGGTTTCCATCTGTTTTTTCCTGGAGCATCTTAATAATCCACTTTCAATAAACTGGTTTCCATTGTCACACTTAAAGGGGTTAATATTAGGAGTTTGCCTTAACTCAGAGCAAAGAAGTTTCATGAAATGTGCTACTGAAGATTCTCAGTCATCTAGATTATAGTAACCTCAAACTCATAGCTAATTTTGAC